AGCTCGATGATGAGTTTCTTATAGTCCTTGTAGGTGATGAAGGAATACGGTGTGAGTTCCAGGAACTGCCATTCCTTGTTGACCGTCTGCAGCTTGCCATCGACGTGCTTTTGGACCTTATGGGTCTCCACATGGAGCTTGATGAGCTTGCGGTAGCCGACGGCGCGGTTGTTGGGATACAGACGGGCGCTACGGCAGATAATGTCGAAGACGGTGTGAACGCCTTCGGCGGGCGAGCTCAAGAGTCCATCTTTGTATTTGGCGTGGCGGCGGGGAACAGTCTCCCCAGTGACCTTTGGGTAGCCGGGCGCCTCGACTGTGAAAGGGGGCTTGTGCACCTGGTGCAGCGGTAAGCTACTGGTGGTGTAGTCCATGGCAGGCAGTTTGGATGGTAACAGGGTAACTGAGGGGAAGATTGGCAACCGAGGTCAAGAATTGGCAATCTCACGAGGGGAGATCAGAGGGTGACAGCAGGTTGAGATCAAGGATGAACAAGCAGGGAAGGAGAGGTGCTGGCAACAGGCGACCAACATCAACCACGCAGCCTACACGTGACCTGCTTCTTGCACGCACCTCCGGCTGTCATCGCCTAACCCCTCGGCCTGGCGTAATTTTAACACGCATTGTTTGCGACCAACACGCATAACGCGCGTTGCCACTCGCCAACACGCACATCGCCGGCCTGCGTGGGTATTTGGTCATGAACAACCCTGCCATTGGAAGATTGGAAGTCGCGAGAGAGCCCCGGTGTCCAAAAGGGCCGCACCCTGCACGCACGTTTGGGCATAGATGTCTACACGCAGAAAATGGCTGCTAGCCCTTCATCTCGCCCAATCCCGCCATCTTGACACATGACGCCGACCTGGCCCCCATTCAACTCTTGTCGACACATTCCACTTTGGCCCGCCCAGGTCATCTGGCTGCGATGGTGTACCCTAGCCTGCTCATGTCACAATTCGCGACCGCGAAACGGGCGGCCTGCGATCGGTGTCGCAAGCACAAGGTCGCCTGTCCTCCAAGGAACAACATCGAGCTGGATTGCGACCGCTGCGTCCGCGCTGGTGCTGTTTGCGTCACGGGATACATGAAACCACTGGGCAAGCCCACTATCCGCTGTCAATCCAACACACCAAACGATGCGGTGTTGACCACCGCCTGCTCTTCGCCTGGCCAAGGCTCCCAAGCCTCGCACTTGTACAGCTTCTGCGACGCAACAGACATGGCAGAGCCGATTGAGCCCTGGTCATTTTCCGATGTGACCGAGGATGACGAGCTCATCAGCGGCAGCCAGGACTTGAGGCACGAGGCCGCCTCGCTGTTCCATCCAGAGGGCTTGCAGACGTGGTGGAACGGCACGGACAGTGCATCGTCCCTGGAGACACTTCATCAGAATTGGCACTCGGCACCACCCTCGGAGCAAAACGTGGATGCCGGTCAGAATCAGCAGCGCATCTCGTTTCCGTGGAGCCTCTCGCGCCCCTTGAGCGTGCCTGAGCAAAGTCCGTCTTTCAGCTGCAGCGCAAGAAAAGATCTCGAGGTCGCAGAGTACAATGTTCGCCTTTCTCAGCTCCGGGTCAACTTGGCCAGGCAGATCTTGCACCAACAGGGCAGCAACCCAGAGCAGCAGCCGAGGAGCATGACTGACGAAACCGAGACTGCAGCGGCAGAGTCTCCACGTGAGCCTTTATGTTCCCACGCGCTTGGGGCAGCATTGAGCAGCACGTCAGAGTTCCTGGACATTATACAGTCCTACAAAAGGCTCAGTCGCAGTGCTCAGCACGTCGACAATCCCACCATGCTTCTCGACCTACTGTCATTCTACTTTCACCTTGTCTCAGTGTTCAACTACTTCTTCCGACAACTATACGACGCGCTCGGCAGCGGTTCTTTTCAACAAGACACCGCCTTGCGGGGCCTTCATCCGCTTCCCAATCTGAATCTGTCAGGGTTCGCCGTGAGTGGGGGCAAACTCCAGACCAGGATACTGCTGCAAGCAGCACATCACCAGTTCAAGCAGATTGAGAGGAATTTGGGTGTCCCGCCCGAGCATGCTGTGTCCCTCCGCACAAGGGACGCAAATGACAGCATCTGCGACAACCGCCTACGAACCATTTTCCAGGCTGTCTTTAGCAAGAATCAGAATGGCCCAGGAATAACGGTCTCGCCATCCTCAACGAGCACTCTTAGAACTAGTTTTGTGATGATCAGCCGGAGATTAGATGAGATAGACAATTAGAGTAGAGGCTCACGGTTGTGGTAGGTTTGGTCAAATGGTGACGAGAAGTCATGGAGAGCATCAGACAATACAACAGGTGATTGATCTTCCACTGTCGAATGTCCATGACCTTTCCTTTTCGATGGAGCAATCCACGTCGGACTCACTCCACTGGGGGCTGTGAACCCGGAATTACGGCCATGTAATGCCGGCCAACTAAGAGTAGTTGGAACGCCATTTCCCCTGAGCTTTGGATGCTATTGGCTCGGGTGTAGACCACGGTCCGGGGTGCTCGAGGGGTGTGCTGTAGAGCGGGTGGGGAAGGGGCACGGCCCGCTAGGATGCGGGCGGCTGGGACTGTTGAATTGTCAAGGGCTGCGGTCTCTTGACACCTTCCAAGACAACCTTCTACTTTAAGGCTTAGCGTGAGAAAGTTCGTAAAAAACTAACTTCTGTTAACTTGAACTATATGATCAAATCTAATTTATGCAAAGTTAACTTTTGATATTGTGATCTACCACACACACCCATAGTGTCAGGGGGGGTCGGTCGGCAGGTAGGACAGGGAACACTCGGTCAGGCTGATCTGGTCTATTGCTACGGATAGGCACTCCTCAGGTAGGGCAGGCTCTATGTACAAG